AATAATGTATCAACCACCGTCACCATCATTTTGACGTCACGATCATCGCCATTATGACGTCACGATCATCGCCACATTATGACGTCATCGTCATCAGGTGACAAGCCCCTCGGAGAGGCCTACCTGTATTTTGGCTGTCGGCACGAGGCAGAAGATTTCATATACGAGGAGGAGTTGAAGGAGTACTTGAAGGACGGCACACTCAACAAACTCTACCTGGCATTTTCGCGAGATCAAGAGAAAAAGGTTTGTAGTGGCGTGTCTGGTTGTCTGTTTGTTTCTTTTTCATTTATTTGGTCTCTCTCTCTCTCTTTACTTTTTTCTCTCTATCTTTTTTTTCATCTTTACCCATCCATCTATTTCCAAAAAAAGGTTACGATGTGTGTGTGTGTGTGTGTGATTATTCATTTTATTTATTTGATCTTAGGTATATGTCCAGCATTTATTAGAGCAGAACTCTGAAGAGGTCTGGAATGTTCTACAGCAAAAAGGCCATCTCTATATATGCGGGTATGTCTGTATGTGTGTGTGTGTATGTTTGCTTTTGTGTGTGTGTGTATGTGTGTGTGTTTGCTTGTGTGTGTGCGTGTGTTTCTGTTTTATGTGTTATTAATCGTCATCGTTCATTTATTCATTATCATCTTTTAAAATTCAGGCATTATTTATTAAATTTCATTATTCATTTATTCATTCATTCATTCATTCATTCATTCATTCATTCATTCATTCATTCATTCATTTACTGGCTCATTTGTATGAAATTCATTCTTTCACTCATTCATTCACTCATTCATTTAGGGATGCGCGAAACATGGCGACAGACGTGGACAAGGTCCTCCACAAAATCGTAATGGCCTGCGGAAATCACGATTCAGCCTCTGCCAACGACTACATCAAAAGGTAGCCGGCTAATTAATATGCAAACTTATGCTAATGTATCTAATTAATATGCAAATTCAATTCAGTGTAACTAATTAATACGCAAATTTTATTACCGGAAAAAATTTCATCCTTACATAGATTGAGATCTACGGGGAAGTATTCGTGTGATGTCTGGAGTTAGATGGATGGATGGCCAGCAATTAACATTACTCTAAAGACCGAAGCAGAAATGTCATTATCATAATTTATGTAAAACTTATTATAATTATTATTGTTGTTGTCATTATTCTTACTATTATTACCAGAATTTTGACTCATTTGTTCATACTCTTTGTCTAAATTGCCTTATAATAAATATAATTAAATATATATATATGTATATATATATATGTGTGTGTGCGTGTGTGTGTGCGTGTCTAGCCGTCATTATTATAAGTTTATTTCTCTATCGATGATGAATAATAAAATCATGTCATAAATGTATGTGACCAATTTCCGTCTGCTCATCACAATCAATTTCACTATCTTATTATTGCATTTGTCGTTGTAATTGATGGCTCTAAATAAGGGGTGGGCAAACTACGGCCCGCGCCAAAAGTAAAATAGTTTTCAGTGCGGCCCTCACAGCAAAAAGTTTGCCCACCCCTTGCTCTTGATTGCTGTTGTCTCAATTCTGCTATTATCAATTTATCTTTCGATATTACCTTATAATAGTAATTAGAATTAGAGTTGACAGACATTTACACACGCACATACCTACACATACAAACATACATACATATACATACAAACACATATATACACACACGCGCGCGCGCGCATTTTATTCATTTTTTAAAATAGTTTATAACGGTTAATTATCCATTAGAGAAAATAATAGTTTATAAATGTATTTTATTCATTCATACATATTTACATACATACATACAAACATGCATACAAACAAACAAACATACATATATCCACACGTACATTATTATTACTACTATCACTATTATTCGTGATTTAATATGACAAAACCGTCTATACTTAGAATTTGCATTTATGAACAACAAAGTTTGAATTAGTGAATAATAATGATTAACGTAATTATCAACGAATGTCATTACATTATCGTCAATAACATTAGCAAATTATATAAATGATAACAATATCTTTATTATGAATATTAATAATAAGAATTATAATTTATAAATAGTGTCATGTTATTGTTACTCCCAAACCATTATACTTTTGATGTACTTTAAAGGTTTATAAGAAATAAAATTCTTTTTGCCTAAAATTTTTCAAATTTTTGGCCCAAAATTTAGCTAAAGTTCTGAAGTTACATTTCAGAAGCGTTTTGTCTATAATAATCTAGACCTATAATGTATATTTAGTAGGAATACTTTAAAAAATGGTTTATATTAAAAGTATTGTAAATTTCAATGACAATTTCAATTTTGTGACAATGAGAGCAAATATTAATATATTTAGCAACATGAAAAATGCATACATTGAAGAACTCGCTTTAGCCTTCATTTAAACAAGTTCCACTCAATTAAGCCTAATTGAGAATTTCATACATTGATTTGATTTTGACGTGATCCATGTTACAAATTAAATTAGTGTGATGATTTTTGAAATAAAAACAAAAAGTTTCACAGTTTGTCAGTCATCTTAAATAAGAATTTAACCCATAGTGTGTATACATATAATATATATACATATATAATTCACTGTCATTATTTTAAACAGATTTTTTCAAATCTTGAAAAACTTCACAAATTTAAAAAAAATGTATGAATGAACATCAATAAAAAGCCAACTGAATGTCAAATTAAATATCTGAAATCTATGTAATATATTCAAATTAGGTATCTAGTATCTATGCTATCTATTTGGGTTTCATCACATTAATGAGTTGTTCACTGAAGACTATCTCCAAATCAGTCGATCGCCTAATTGAAACACAGTGAAATATGTTAGAATGTTGCAAGTAGTACCCAACACATCTGTACATCAGTCCACGAATCAGTCTCGCATTATTTTCGTTGCTGCTGTAATATATACATTGGATGCAACCAGATCTATCTTTCAAATCAAATTCTAATGAACTGAGATTAGTGCTGTGTGTTATCGCTGAGTTGATGGAGCCAAAAACTTCAAATACCTTCATATCATTGTTACTGGAATAAATGCTTTTTAAATCTGCTACTCTACAAGTGACAAAAACAGTTTCTCTGAAATTATTTTGAGTTGGAGAATTAGGAGCAATTACTTTGTCATCCGTTTTTTTAATCATTGAACATTTCTCTTGATAAGAGGGAAGATTAGTAACAGAACTAGAAGTGTGTGCGTTTACCTCCTTGTACACTCTTATTGGTATGTTCTTATCCATCAAAGTTTTCGGCATGTAGGTGTTGTTTTCAAATGAATTAATCCCAGCCCCAACATTGGAACTGCGATTGGTAGATGAATTATTTTTTGCGATATTTTCGTTCAGAACGTCCAGAGGTTTTCGAGGAAATGCTGATGTATTCAAAAATCCAGGTTTTCTCTCTGTTTGGTTGGCATTGAAGGACTCAATTTTCTGATTATAATTCATTTTTTCGTTTTTTTTGGCATCCATTTTATAATTAATTCGGTTAATCATCTTTTACTTCGCAATTTAAATGGAAGTATGAGCAACGAGATTCAGGGAACGATCAGACAAAAAAATGGCGACTTCAATGAAAAAGGGACTTTTAGATTGAAATTAATTGAGCCATAGAGTTTTTGTTCAACTCAATGGTCTTAGCTAAATCCTAATTCCGAATAAGATTTATATGAATTTATCAATTTGCAGCTATATGAATTTATTAATTTTCAACTACTTCTTACCACCCAACACATCTTTTTTAACTATTTTTAGAAACGGAAAATTTCCGTTGTTTCTGTTTCGTTGCAAAAACAAAAGCTTAAATAATTAATAAATCATTGAGATTTGTTAAAGAGTAAAAACATTAATCGCAATCATTACAACAAAATTCAGAAATATGACTCTCAACGATTCACTGTCGGATTGTCCGGTTTACGATGAGATTAAAGTTCGACATGTTAAGGTTACTTTCTGGAACCTGGAGAACGCCGAACTATATAATAAAAATCACAAAGTCCTTATCGAATTTCTCGAATCGATTTCTCAATATAAAATCAATGAAAAGATTTTATCCGTCGAAGATGTCGGTTTTAAACTTTTGCAGGTCCGTATTAAATGTCCGGAAATTATGTCGGCAAAGTTATTCATGAAAAATCTGGAAATAGATGCCAAAAAGTTCAGCTTTAGCGTTGTTATCGACAAGCCGTCACCTGCGAGTAGAGTGAATGATCATCTGGAAGAAATCCGTGCCCTCTACTGCGAAATGGCAAAAAAAGTGAGTAAAAATAAACACCGATACGAAAGTCTAGTTCATGACCTAAATAAGGATAGCACTCGGCTCAGCTTGGAAGATCTTCAAAAGAAACATGAAACTTTAGAGACATACAATGAAAAAATTAGAGAAATTGAAGATCACGAGAAAGAATTTGACAAGTCGCAAATTTTTGTTGAAAAATCACTAAGATGGTTTCTTGAACGTTTGGTATATTCTGAAGAAGAAATTAAAAGATTAACGACTTTTTGTAAAAGAGAAATATTTCGATGTGAAAATGCATTACCAATATACGCTCGAAAATCAGAAATAGTCGACACAGTCATAAACAACCAAGTGACAGTACTGATAGGAGAAACGGGTTCCGGGAAAACAACTCAACTTGCTCAGTACATTTACGAAGCCTGGCCTAGGTCTGAAAAAATAATTGCATGCACGCAACCGAGAAAAGTTGCAGCTGTCAGTGTGGCGGAACGAGTTGCGGGGGAAATGAAATGCAGTGTTGGAGACATCGTTGGTTACCAGGTTGGCATGAGTAAGAAATCATCAGGAAACACCCGAATACTTTTCATGACCGATCACATATTATTGAACGAGTGTCTGACTGATGGAACTTTTTCAAAATATTCTTGTATAATATTGGATGAAGCGCACGAAAGGAGTATTTTTACCGATCTGCTTCTCGGTTTCATTAAAAAAGCAATCAATCTCCGCGAAGATTTGAAGGTGATCATCACTTCAGCTACCATTGACCCGACTGTTTTTCAAAATTATTTTCGCCAGTACAAACCACCAAAGTTGAAAGTTTCAGGGAGAATTTTTCCAGTTGATGTCGTCTACAAAACTCCATCTAACCCAAAGGATCACGTGCGCAGTGCTTGCGATTTGGTTGTGGACCTGCACAGTCGACACTCCATTCCTGGTGATATACTTGTGTTTTTGACGTCACCTGCCGAAACTGAAGAGGCCGTCAAAATTTTAAAAAATAAGCAAATCACAAACGGTCAAATTTTGCAACTTCATGGCAGACTGCAACTAAAAGAGCAACAAGAGGTATTGAGACCGACAAAAGCCGGATTAAGAAAAATCGTGTTCGCTACGAACGCAGCAGAAACATCCGTCACCATACCAGGGATCAAATACGTCATCGACACTGGCTTGGTAAGAGAAATGACGTTCGATGGATCTAAAAACATGAGCTCTCTCGTCCTTACAAAAATTACACAAAGTTCCGCCAATCAGCGTAAAGGCAGAGCAGGGAGAACGGAGCCAGGAAAATGTTACAGATTATTTTCACAAGCGGAATACGATAAGATGAAAGCGAACTCCGTGCCTGAAATATTACGCGTTCATCTGGGACAGGCCTTCCTCAAACTCATGTTACTTGGTATCAAGGACCCTAAAGAGTTTGATTTTGTTGAAGCGCCTCCAAGAGAAGCTATGAACTCAGCTCTAGATATGCTGGTGGAACTAGATGCTATTGATGATCAAGGAATCACGGCACTAGGAAGAAAGCTGGCCACGATCAGCTTAGAGCCAAGACTTGGAAAAGTAATTTTAATGGGTGCAGTTCAGCAACTCGGGTTTGAATGCGTGGTCATCAGTGCTCTCTGTGCGACGGGCAGTCAAATATTTTTTAGAGGGGGTGATAATCGGGATAAAATAAATTCCGACAGAAAAAAAGCGTTATTTTGTGATGATTGCGGCGACATGGCTACTCTGCTAAATGTTTACAAAGAATGGATGAGAGTTCCAGAGAGAGATAGAAGCAGATGGTGTGGAATGAATTATATCAACTCCAAAAAAATTAACGGTACGAAGGATCTTATCAGAGAAACCCTTCATTGCTTAAGAAATGAATTGAGGTTACACATAAACGAAACCTTCTCAGAAAATCCAGACGTGAATTTAAAACTATCTAGAATAATTTTCGATTGTTACTACTCTAACCTGGCAATGTATACGGGTCATAGAAAAATTGGATTCAGATTAGTCAAAAAACCTGAACAAGAGCTACAGATTCACCCTTCGTCTTCACTAACGTACCTGGAGCACTACCCAAACTGGATCGTTTTCGAGTCAATTCTAACCACGTCAGAAACTTTCCTGCTGAATACAACTTTCATTAAACAGAGTTGGGTGGACGAAAAAATAGGGCAAAATATTTTGAAGTACACTCAACAAGATCTCGAGAGAGTAGTCCTCGATTGTGTCAAGTTGGACAATTTGGGTAGTTATCTGCATGATGTGATTAGTTCTCACCACAGTCCCGACCAAACAAAAGGCGCAACTGTTATTAACGCGAAACGTAAAAACTACATAGAAAGCCAAATAAGCAATCCAGATACATTAACCGTTGTAGAAATCGATGAAAAACCCTTTGTATACCTTTATACTTCCATACATCAGTTTGTATCAACTCGCGAAAAAGCCCTGTCTGTTTTAAAAAAGTTGAAAGTAAACCTCCACAATGAAACCGTCACGAAACTTTTAAACTCATCGTCAAATGTTAAAGGAATTATTGGTTCTGGAGCGTTAATACAGACATTGCTTATGCCGAATGAATGCTCGCAAATTTTGATAAAAATGTCGACGCCAAAAGACATACAGGATCAACTTACTGAGATATATTTTAATGCTACTAAAATATTTGTAAATGAGTCAAAAAATGAGATTTTGTTAACTTTTTCAGATCCAGATATGTGCTCAAAAGCTTTAAAACAGACTCCTTACTTGCTTCGAGATAATTTTATAACGTTATCTCCGTACAATGAAAACAGTTTCGTTGAGAATTTATCAAACATTACAGTTAAAGTTTTACAAGTCGTACGAAAAGCCAAATATGGTTTCATCAATTTTAAATCTCTTGAAACACGTGAGCAATTTTGTGAGCGCCATTCAAACTCGTTTATAGAAGTTATTTATAAAAACGTCAATCATTACATAAGAGTGGTCAGAGATAGAAAAAACGAATGTAGCATATACATGAGCAACCTGTATGACTGGATTGATAAGTCGCACATTGAAAAATTTTTAAAACAAAATGGATATGAAGGAAACGTTAAAATCGTCAGAGAAAAAATTACACCCAGCGAGAGGGATCGTCGACTTAATAAGTTCAAATATCATATTAGTCACGCTTTGCCTAATAGTGAAGCTACCATTAACTTCCTAAATCCCAAACCTGATGACAACCTCGTGGCTGCCTATGTAAAATTTGATAAAGTAACAAACGCCAACCATTTCATAAATTTAATCACTCCTCTCGGAAATATAGAGGCTAGTTTTGATTTGAAGTTCAAATATTCAACACCCCAAAATATTTACGATAAAATTCTACCAACGATAGCTAAAGCAAAAGCTGATTTAACTGGACAAAAAATATTTCATGACGTTAAAGCCGGACCAAATAATAAAAATTTTGTAACGACGACTGTTGAAGCGGAAAGTTTGAGCGACCTGGTAAGGATAAGGAGTCGGCTTGATAGTTTGCTGTCTGGATACCAATGGCGGACTCCAAATTATAAAACTTTCTCATTGAAATCTTTTCCTCAAAAGATTCGTAACGTTGCAAACGCGAATGGCACATACATTTTGTACGACGACTACAAAAAATGCCTCTCTATCTACGGAACTAGTGAAGCCATAAATCGCACAAAAACTCAAATCGACGAACTCCAGAACGTCAAAGTTGACGACTCGAAGAAAGAAATTGATCTGAGAAGCGCGTCGTATTCGAGAGGTTTGACAAAAAATTTGATACGTCGTTTCGGCTTCGATTTTGCGGCTCTTAAGAAAGAAATTGAGGCGGTTGATTTGGACCTAAACTTAAAATTACACCGTCTGATAGTGTACGGCCCGCAAGAAGCATACGATAGACTAGAATCAATACTGAGAGATATTTCGGCTGCAATTGAGTTGGACAGACAGATGAACAACAACGATGACCAAAACAGAGATAATGATTATATGAACATTCGCAGACCAGATGACAACCTTGGCGATTGCAAAATATGTTTGGATAAAATAAGCTTCAGTGATTATTACGTAACTGAATATTGCGGACACGTTTACTGCAAAGATTGCATCACCAGTCTCATAAAAAATAGCAGCCAGGAGGCAAATTTTCCGATCAGGTGCATACAAGAAAACTGCAACGCCGAATTAGTTATAAAAGATTTTCAAAATCTCATCACGAACGAAGATGACTTCCAAGCGATCGTCGAGGCCTCATTCAAGCACTTTCAATCACAAAACAGCGACAAATACTTCTGCTGTCCATCACCCGACTGCCCGACCATCATAAGAAAAGTCCAAGAACCTACATCAGCCCTCGAGTTGAAGGAATTCATTTGTGGCGTGTGTCAGCACTCCGTGTGTATGTCGTGTGGCAACATCTATCATAAAGGTACGAAGTGCGCGTACAACGCCGCAGACGAAACGTTGAGATCCTGGATAGACGAAGACGAGCTGAACAGATCCATCTGTCCGAAATGTAGTTTCGGGATCGAAAAGAACGGCGGGTGCAACCACATGACGTGTTCCAATTGTAAAACTCACATCTGCTGGGTCTGTAAGATGATTTTTGACGCAAGTGGACCCTGTTACGATCATATGCGGCAGGTGCATGGAGGAATCGGCGCGTGATATTTTAGTATCGTCTATGTGAAATCTTTCGTCAGTTGCGAATTTTTGCGAATATTCCTTGATTATTCTTCTATCATGTCGAGAATATTTTATTTTATGTTACTAATAAAATAATTTTTACTTCATTTTCAGGTGAATTTCATTTTACATTGCTGATAAACGACTTTTTTGGTTAATTTTTACAATTTAGCAATCAGGTATTAATTAATGCTTCTTGGATTAACATTTTTTAAATTTTGATAATTTATTTTACCACGAGTATCAGTCAATGTATATGGATTTTACATCATGATTTGTTTCAAAAGTAATTAGTTACCAACGTATTATAGCAGTTTTATTATTTATCGAAATCGAATATAACAATCTATTTGTCAATCATTCACATCAACTTTTTTCTCGTTTGATTTTTATATAAATAAGTTTAAATGGCGTTAGTTTGATAGAATAAAATAAATTTAAGATGTTTCTTTATTATCAGAGTGGGATGTGTTTGTTTGTAAGAAAACTGGTTCTTAAAAGAGAATTTTATTAAAAACATGCTAAAGACAAATAACCTGGAAAAAATTAAAAAAAAAAATTCATTTTCAAGAACACACAAAAATAAGTGATGATATTTTATGCTTTTAGAGTTTTAAAATCAACCTTTGTGATAGAAGAAGAAAAATTTAAATAAGTGTAAAACATGAAAATGAGTGCAACAATACGAAATGAAGAACGATTCGAACGAAGTTTGTAAATGTTCATCGCCGTGTGTATGTGAAAAAATGTTAAAAATAACATCTAATAGACCACTCCGTGAACATCTTTCAGGTGCTTGTGACATTCTCCAACAATTCTGAAAGCCTTCTTGCAAATCCAACAGATGTTCGTCTCACATTTCACGCAGGTCACATGTTGGTAACCTTCAACTCTCTCAATGCCAGATAGACACACGGGGTTGGGGCATATGCCCCGTCTTTCCAAATCATCTTTCATCCATCTTCTCAAACCTAGGTCGCTGGGGCAAAGGCGATTTGTCTCGCAGTTCATACCAGGGTGTGATTCCAGTCCACATGATGTACATTGTAGAGGGCACCAACAAATTTTACAAAACTGCTCGTCATCCATATATACTTCCTCCTTTTCTTTAGTCTTTCTATAAATTTCCGGACAATATGCTGCAGGACAGTGCCCGAATACTTCGGGTTTGGTTGAGATGTGATACTTAACGGATGATTCTACCAGTTGTTGTAAACAGTCTTCATCGTCGCCTATTGAATTATAAATATCTTGCCAAACTATTTCCAAATCGCAGTCATCCCTGATACATTTGATTGGAAAATTTGATTCTTGGGATTGAATTTTGATCAGACTCTTGAAGCATTCGGTGCAGTAAGCGTGCCCACAATATTCAGTCACGTAGTAATCGCTGTCGCTAATATCCAGACATAGGGGGCATTCGAATGAAAATTCTCCCGACTTTTCTTTAACTAAGTTTTCTTCTCTCATAACTTTTGACATTTGCTCCATCAGTCTTTTTAAATTTTCAAAAGAATCCTGTGGACCAGTTAGCTGCAATTGATGTTGTCTTAAATTAATTTTCAATTCAGCCGCTACAATCTCGCGTCTCAACTTTAAAAGGTCGCATCCGTAATGACGAATTAAACACTTCAGCAGGCCTCTATCGTGCTTTGGACCTCGCAAATCATATACTTTCGAGATGTAGTTCGTCTTTTCTTCCAATTTTTTTTTCATTTTTTCCTTCGCCTCTCTGACCTTTGATGCTTCGCCAAAAAATACAAGACGTTTGCTTCGAGCATGGAAAGTTATCTGCACGTCATAGCTTTTTTCCAACTCTTTCTTTAGCCAGTTGTACTCGTTTGAGTACAAGATATTGTAAATATTTTCTTCTAATTTATCTCCTTGCAGTAAAGAATCAAATATTTCTTTAGCCTCGAACATACTTTCTTCCGTTTCACACGTTAATATGGTTTCCACGCTGTTGCGAACGACACGGCTTTCTAAGGCAATTTCTCTTCTCAGGTTATTTGGCATTTTCTCAAGTTTATCGTCGATTATTGATTGGTTGAAATATTTTACCGGCGTGTAATATATGTACCTCCTTCCGTAATCAGCTTTCAAGCCTTCTGATCGGCCAGCTTCAGAATTGACGGCATAGAACACCTTTTTTGCAATTGTCGAATTTCGGCAGTCAATAGTTGCTTTGTAATAATTTACACCTTCGTCGTAACACGTCAAAACATTGATATCGTTACGATGAACGGTTCGACATAATTGGAGCAGGAGGGTCTTCATTTGGGCGATGTTTGCAGCGTCGTCAAAAATTTTTGGCGCGTCCTCCCGCACTCGTATCGATTTAAAGTAGCGGCTTTCGCAGCCAGCGCGCTTCAAAGCTTTCCCGATTTGTTCATCAGTGATCTCCCCTTCCAGTCTTATATGCATTTGTTCGCCAGATCTGTTCACTGTCGGTTCAATCTCAAATTCCAGTCCATCATCTCCAGTAAAAATCAAGCGCGGGTATTTTTTAATGAAGTCGAAACAGTTGCATTCTGGTGCTAATTGTATAAACACGTAAGGTTTTAACTTTTTTCTAATTTTAGTCACCACGATTGAAATGCTGTCGTAACTGGCTTCAAATATATTATCGATCAAATGAGAACAAGCATCAATGTTTGGGTGAATCGAATTTAGATTTAAATTTTTGAAATCTTCACAAAGCGATGGTTCGTTGAACGTTAGCAGGTAGTAGTTAGCATAGTTTACCCAATACACCCTTTTAACGCCGTTCTGTAATTTTAGAACTAGTTCAATATCCATCAAACAAGCTGGCTTTGAGCACTGTGAAGTATGAACAGATAACTGCACTTTTTCATCTCTCGTCATGAGGATAGCATCTACCATTGCCCCGCTGCCTATGATCGCACTTTTATTTAAATCACGCTCTATCGCCTTCTCCATCGTTTCGTTATACATGTTTGTTTTTATGCTATTAATTTTATTATAAACTGAATCCTTGATTTGATCAAACGAGTGAGATGAAGCGTAAATATGAAGAAATGGTTTAGCTTGAAAATTGAGATGAATGAAAGATGTTGGAAATTCGTGGTGTAAACTATTTAGCCGAAGATTTTTCTGATTTGGACTGGTGAAAATTTCTTTAAGCTCCTCCCTTAAGTAATTGCCTATCAAAATATCTAGTCTTTCATGTGTGGTAAGCATTTGTTTGATTCGATCCTCACTTAATACTCCAGATTTGATCTTCTCATCCAGCCAGTTTTCTGACACGACTGAAGCGCTAGAAATGTAACGTCTTGACGACGTTTTGATTATAGAATCGAAGACAATCCAAGGCGGGAAACGTTGGCTGCATATAAGATTTGAAAGCGGATGAACATTTATTGCTACATTCGGTTTTTTCATAGAAACGTAGCCCAGCGCGTTTACACCTGTAAATCTGGCCAGATTTCTCCAGAACTTATTGAATATCATCTTCGATATTTTATAATCGGTTTCAACCTTCCAGCCAAATGAATTGTTGCAACAAAGATTCAAGTCGTGTGTTAAAACGTAATACAATTCATTGATCTTTTCTTCGGCGAGGTGAATTGTCTTCGAATTGACGAGATAATAATCACACCAGCTATCCCTGCAAAACTTTTGTCCATAAAGAAAATCTTGATAAATGTTCAGCCACGTTATCATATCGCCGAAATTATCAAAAAATATTGATATGTGCAAACCCATGTTACATTTTGTGTTTTTATCCAATTTCATCAACTGAAATTTTTCAAAGGAACTCAACACGCTTATAACCAAAGACTCGTAACCGAGGTGTTCTTTAATACCCTCCAGAATGAATTCTGCGTGTTTTGGATTTAAATTTATTTCAGCTAATAATTTACCAAGTTTTGTCAGTTGATTGTTATTGTCAATGGCCCCAATCGCTGTTAATGATTTGAAGGATTCTTCTATTGGTTCTGTTGGAGGTTTTTTAAAGAATTCCAAACATTCAAATTTGTTAATTCCGTGTGACATAAGTTTTAAAATAAATCCATTTAGTCGGTCTGTTAAAACTTCAACCATATCGTCCGATGGATTTGAATCCAAATCTTTTGCGGAATATAGCCTATAACATATGCCAGCGTCGTTTCTACCAGCTAATTTTCTACGCTCTTCAGCGCTGTAACTCGAAATTTTCTGAAAACGGTAACTGTTTTTATTACCAGTGCCAAGATTTCTCATTCTTTCTTTGCCACTATCAATTACGCAGATGATTTCAGGCACTGTCAAAGATGCTTGGGCAACATTCGTAGCGAACACAACTTTCCTGAAACCATTCATCGTCGGCGCGAATACATCCTGTATGTCTTCCGCTCGCATGTGTTCGTGGAGACCCAATGGCAGAAGATTATTAATATTTTTAGACTTTATTTCATCAATGGCCTCTTCAATCTCAGAATGAGTTGCCAGGAAGACAAGTATATCTTTTGCACCGTCTACCACTTCTTCCTCTCTATGAAATTCCAGTGCTTTTAGACATGCGTGTTTTACATGATTTTCTGAAACTGCAACAGCTTTGTAAATCACTCCAACAGGAAAGATGTTATCTATTAATTTTAACTGAGTTGGGTTAAAATTTTTAAAGTATCCAACGTAGTCGTACTGAAGTTTGTCAGTGTCTGTAGAAATGATAATAACTTTGAGGTCTGGACGTCGCGAAAGATTTTGTTTGAGCGACCAGAGCAATAAATCCGTGTAAATAGTTCTTTCCTGCACTTCGTCTAAGATGATGCAGAAATAACGAGAAAATAATTCATCTGCGAACCATTCGTTTACCAGCTCGTGATCGGTGATGAATAAAATTCGCGTGTCACTGTTCAGTTTCCAGTCCGCTCTCACCCGATAACCCACAAGTTGACCCAAAGATGACCCCATATCGTTGGCTACCCTTCTGGCCACGTATACTGCTTCGGCTTTTCTCGGTTGCGTGCACACAATCATTCTATCTGGTTTGTATTCTTCGTAGATGTATTGGGCGATTTGTGTCGTCTTGCCCATGCCTGCATTGCCGAAAATGATACTCACCTGAGAGGCGGCTACCGTCTTCAGGATGTTTTCTTTATTAGCGAGCACCGCATGACCTTTGATGTACCTCTGCATTTCTTTGCTCAACGTCTTCATGAATTTTTTCAAATCTTCCACTGACATGTTGTTTTCATTTACTCCAATTACTATATTTGCCAGTTGGTTCGAGGTAGAAGTTTTTAAATTTTCAAGATATTTTCTTCGATTCTCGAAATATTCTTTCTTATTTTTGAACGCCGCAAGTTGCAAGCAAAGTTGTGGCACACTCACTTTTGCCTGCAGGTTCACCAACTGCTTCTCACAGTCATCACATTTCCCTTTGAAGACAGCAGCACTATGGATGACATCCGTCAGCATATCTTCGAAGAATGCATCAATCGATCTAACATATTTATTCAATAGAATTTCAAAACACCCATTATCATCCTCTGCTACAATGCTCGCCTTCAGCTTCTGCGACCTCTCCACTCTCTTCATCGCTTCCAAAAAATCATCTGCATCTTCCTCGGTCACACACCTTATCAGCACTGAATAATTATCATTTGATTTGCTCTCGATACGGACAAGGCCATCATCCAGAATGTGCAGGGATATTCGCTGCAGATAGTGAATGAGGATTGACTTGTTCTCGAATATACGTCTAATGATATCTCGATATCCGAATTTGATTCTGATATATAGGAGGTCTGGTGTGGAAGGCTGTAACCCTTTCAGCAGTGAATAGCTGATTAAATAGTCTCTGCTCTCTGCCATTTTGGGGAGAAATTTTCCGACTAAATTTCCACGCTCTACGGCTTTTTTCTATAAGTTAAATTTTAAAAATAATCATAAAATCAGCATTAACGGTAATTTTCATCCTAAGTTTTCTTAATTATTAAAATAATGATTCCATTACAAACACGCACACACACACACACACGCACATAATGTAACCATATATCGGGTTTTTGGCTTATTAAGTATAGAAAATGAAGATAATATGAGAATTAAATAATTTTATAAAAAATAATATTGGCAGGCATAATAATAATTAATAGTATTTTTATTAAATAATTATTAAAAATCGCATTATACGAGCCTTTTAGAGAGAAAAACCTTTTTCATAAAACTTTCGGACGAGCGTTGAGAGTATATTTTGCAACAAAATCAACTTAAGTTTATCTATTAATTAAAATTAAATAAAATTTAAACAAATGCAGCAATGAGAATAACAATATTGTCGAAGTTCTGTTAAATTATATTAATTAATTATATTAATTAATTATATTAATTAATTATATTAATTAATTAATAGCACCATTAGGTGACTTTAAATTTCAATTTAAATATCGGAATATTCGAGTTAATAGAAACAATATAAATACATTACACACCTGACTACACACATACAAACATACATACAAACATATACACATACATACATACAAACAAACATTTACACATAAATAAATTCAAACAAACAAACATACATAAATACACACATATATACAAACATAAATACACACATACATGCATGAATGTACGTATGTATGCTTAAAACACACCTCAGCTAGCAAAAACCATTTATATAGGGTTTCATTTTTTCTATCAAATTTTCAGTGCTTCAACTGTATGGTTTTGTCGGGTTTACGATAATAAACGGAAAAAAACATTGCTATTTATTATGGAATTCTTCAAAACCAACCACAACAGTAATTTATCATCATCATCACCATTACCAACATCATCATTATCATCACCACCATCATCATTATCATCATCACTGCCAATCGCCCATGTAATTACAAGAAAATTCATCGTATCTTAATCACTTCACCATCATCGTCATCGTCGTCACCACCACCAGCCTTCTTCTTCTTATTATTATTAATATTATTATGTTTATTGTTAATATTATTATGATTATTATTATTATTGCGATTATTATCATCCTTATTATTATTATATGAAATGAATCAATTTTAAAACTAATTAACTCTGGTCGTACACTCTCGATTCGAATGAGGAGCTTCTCTGATTAATACTCTATTTATTGACACTTTGACACTTTATTTCATTCTATTTCATTATTTTATTTTATTTGTACTGCCATTTTCAGTGTTCTTATTGCTGAATAAAAAATCATTCCCATTATTATTATGAATTATCATATTATCATTCCCATTATTATTATTATTATTATCATTTTAATTCATAATGTACTTTATTTTTATGCTAATATTTATTATTATTGCGATTATTATTATTATTATTATTCATCGTCATCAACTTCTTCAGCATCTTCTTCCTCTCTCCCTCCCTCCTCGCCATCCCGACCTCGCAGCCCCCGGGCCAAAACCTAATGACGTCATCGTTATTTTTATTATTATTATTGTTGTTATTATTATTATCGTCACCGTTTAGTTTGAATAATAATTTTGACAACACGCCTCTATTTGGTTTTGAGTTGCTGTTGTTGTTATTATCATTATTATTATTATTGTTATTATTGTTGGTATTAGTAGTAGTAGTAGCGGAAAGTTTATTATTATTGTTGTTGTTATTATTATTGTTGGTAGTAGTAGTAGCGGAAAGTTTATTATTATTGTTATTATTATTGTTGGTAGTAGTAGTAGTAGTAGTTGAAAATATGTTATTATTGTTGGTAGTAGTAGTAGTAGTAGTTGAAAATATGTTATTATTGTTGGTAGTAGTAGTAGTAGTAGTTGAAAATATGTTATTATTGTTATTATTATTATTGTTGTTGTTAAGTTGACGAATACTACTATTACTACTACCACTAACATAAACATCATCATCGTCGTCATCATCATCATCATCATTTTCATTGTTGCAATCATAATCATCACCGTCGACGATATTTTTATTATTATTGTTGTTCTTCTTCTTATTATTATTATTGTTGTTGTTCTTCTTCTTATTATTATTATTGTTGTTGTTGTTCTTCTTATTATTATTATTGTTGTTGTTCTTCTTCTTCTTATTATTATTATTATTATTATTATTATTATTATTATTATTATTATTATTATCGTATTTATAACTTTCAAAAAACTTCCTGACATTGCTCTTTGCATCACTGCTCTCACCCACTCCACCAATGTTATTATTATTATCATTATTATTCAATTTATTATTATTATAATTATTATTATTGTTATTCTTATAGGTTGTGACGTCATCTCTAGCATCATCATCATCATCATCGTCCTCACCCTCATCATCATCATCATCACTTTCTTCTTCACCACAATCAGCACCATTTTTATGACCAGTATTATGGCGATGGTGATAGTGATCACGGTTATTATTACTATTATTATTATTATTATTACTATTGTTATTATTATTATTGTTGTTGTCGTTTGGTTTCAATTTCGTATGGCTGGAGTTCGTCTCTGCAAACAATTTATCAATTATTATTTTTATCATTATTATTGCTATTATTATTATTATTATTATTATTATTATTATTATTATTATTATTATTATTAACACATTCATCATCCTCATCGTCATCATTACATCATCATCGTCGTCATCATCATCATTAACCTTGACCTTTGGCCTTCGTCAGTTTCTGCACGGTAAGCCTCGCGATGCTGGCCGAGCGCGTCAAATCACCCATCGAACTCGGGACCTCCTGGTGATGATGTTTCTGGCGATGGTAATGATGATGGTAGTAATGATTATGATTGTGATGATGGTAATGATGGTGACACACACATACACACACACGCACGCACACACACACACAGAAGCGAACATAATTCATGTTCATGTAACACTTTCATATTAAGTTCCTACATACTGGAATTGAGAAGAAGACATGACCCACATAATAACTCTCTCTCTCTCTCTCTCTCTCTCTCTCTCTCTCTCTCTCTCTCTCTCTCTCTTTCACTCACTCACTCCCACACACACACACACACGCACGCACACACACACACTTACCACCATCCTCATCACAACCATATCATCATCAACATCTCTATAGTGGCTGAGAAAGACATCAGCGCCATCTTTAATCCTCCTCATCATCATCCTCATCATCATCTTCATCATCGTCTTCTCCACCCTTTCCAGATGGGCCACTTGAAAGATGAGTGACTTGACGAGATCGTCATCATAACTAACGTCATCATTATCATTACTTTTGTTGCTGTTGTTGTTAGTAGTAGTAGTAGTAGCAGTAGTAGTAGTAGTAGTAGTAGTAGTAGTAGTAGAAGCAGTAATAGTAGTAGTAGCAGCAGCAGCAGCAGCAGCAGTAGTAGTAGCGGTAAAAGTTCTTTTCTCCCAAAGATGTGGTGTTTCCTTGATTAAGATGATGATAAGAAAGGTAAAATCGATGATGATGGTAATGATGAAACTGATGATGATAATGGTATTAATAATAATAATAATTATTATTATTATTATAATAATAAAACAACCACAACAACAACAGCAACAACGACCACAACAACAACATCAACAACAGCAAGGACAACAACACTAACTTCATACTTTCTCATCATCTTGATCTGTCTTTCTAACTCCAAAAAACTCACCATTCTCTCACCACTACCATCACTACCACCATCGTTCTCATCATCATCATCATCATCATTATTATTATTATTATTACCACCACCATCATCATAACTATAACAATCCCTCACAACGTCAACCAAACCCCTCAGCTTATTATTTCTATTTTTCTTAATACCCATCTGACTGAAACCCCGTCCAGACGAGCGGTCTAGACAGTCGTCTAGACCGCTGTCTAGACTAGAGCAGCAGACAGAGAGCAGGATTTCGATGACCTGAATGTCAAGGACGTTTGTGAGGACGGTGCGGTAGGTCCGGTGGAGAATTCTTGAAGGTAGGCGGCAATCGAACATCATCTGTGTGGTTGGTGGTGTTGGAAGGCCATAAGAGCAACAGCAAGAACAACAACATCAATAACAACAACAACATCAACAACAACTACAACAACCACAACAACAACCACAACATCATCAACAACAATAACATCAACAACAACAACCACAACATCATCAACAATAACAACTACAACAACCACAACAACAACAACCACAACAACAACAACAACAACAACCACAACATCATCAACAACAACTACAATAACCACAACAACAACATCAACAACAACCACAACAACAACAACAACAACCACAACATCATCAACAACAATAACATCAACAACAACAACAACAACCACAATAATACATTTTATGACCGACCTTTTTAATGCGTTTATCTTCGAGTATTTCAGACAAGCCTGCTCGGTCATCATCATCATCATCATCATCATCATCTTTCTGGTACTCATCATTATCATCACCACTTCCGTTATTATTATTCCTATTATTTTTGTTGTTGTGACCATTGTAATGACGACCAGTGAATGCCTCATATCCCAGCGACAAGATGTCAAACAGGAAGTAGTTGTTATTATTATTATTGTTGTTGTTCTTATTGTTGTTGTTGCTGTTGGTAGATATCTGGATTGAAAAATTGGTTGATTTATTGTTGAATATTAACTGGCTGATTGATTGCTTGAATGATTTAGTTATGGATTCGCTGATTGGCTAATAAATTGATTGATTGGTTGAGTGATTTGTTTACTCACAACAACAAAAGCAACAACAACAACAACAACAACATCAACATCAACCAACCACGATCCAAGAAAACCTCTTAGGAACTTCAAATGATGATGATGATGATGACGACGACGAAACTGATAATGATGATGACGAAATGTGAGATGATGATGAAGACGACGACGATGATGAACAAACGAATGATATAAAGATAACACTACAACGTCTGATGTTACCAACGCTTCGGTAGAATGACTCATTCAACTTATTCAATATAGTGTAGCCATTATTTTTCAAGATTTCACCATCACCACCATCATCATCTTCATCATCATTATTATTATTATTATAAATATTATTGCTAATACTGTTATTGTTATTATTGTTGTTGTCACCAAAGACACCATATTTATCTCGATTGGTTTCGTCATTACCATCATTCACATCATCTGCTTTGTTAATACAGTTATTTTTGTTACTATCATCATCATCATCGTCGTTATTATTATTATTAGTAGTAGTAGTAGCATTAACAGAAGTAGAGGCAACAGCCACAGTAGTAGTTGTAGTAGTAGCAGTAGTAGTAGCAGCAGCAGCAGCAGTAGTAGTAGTAGCAGCAGCAGCAGCAGTAGTAGTAGTAGCAGCAGTAGTAGCAGCAACAGAAGTAGTAGTAGTAGTACTACTACTAGTAGTAGTAGTAGCAGCAGTAGTAGTACTACTACTAGTAGTAGTAGTAGCAGCAGTAGTAGTACTACTACTAGTAGTAGTAGTAGCAGCAGTAGTAGCAGCAGCAGTAGTAGTAGTAGTACTAACATCACTACCATCACCCCCGCCATCATCATCATCAGCGTCATCTTTACACTTTGGTATATCTTCGTGATTGAAAATGTACTTTTTGTTGAAAATTGTCTTCATCAGCTTATCGTAACCCTTATCTGCATGGTGGTGATGAAGATGATTATCATTATGATTATTATTATTATTGTTGTTGTTTTTATTATATTTGTTATCGTAATTAAAATTGGTTCCATAATTTCTGTTCTCTGTTGTCGTTGTTGTTGTTGTTCTGGGGTTCATTTTAGAACCTTGAAAATTATTTCTATTGTTATCTGTTCTTTGGTGATGGCCTCTTCTGATGACGTCATAGCCGGCATTATCGGCGTCATCGTCGTCGTCAGATAAGTTCTCTGTTGATATTTATATGGATGGGGAGGTAATATTGTATTTTCATTGAGTGAATGAATGAATGAATAAATGAATGAATGAATGAATCAATCAATCAATCGATTAATTAATCAACTAACCAACCAACCAACAACCAAATTAACTCACCATAGTCGTCTTCGTTTGGAATGTTTGGAACGATTCTATAAATTAATTATGTTTGTGATTATATAAAAATTCAATTGAACGAATGATTGATTGAATCAAGAAAAGAATGAATGAATGAATGAATAAATGAATGAATGAATGGACAAATGAAAAATTAAATAAATGAACGAACGAATGAATGGGAAAATGAATGAACAAATGAAGAAATATTTGGCCGTCAATAAATTATTGAAAATAAAAAATATATGAATGAATGAACGAACGAACGAATGAATGAACAAATGAATGAATGAACGAAAAAATAAACAAATGAATGAATAAAATTAATAATTAAATAAAATTAAACAAAACCAAAAACAACAAAATAGTTTAAAATTAACAAAAACTATAACGAATTTTTTTAAAAATTACTACTACTACTAGTATTACTGCTACTACTACTACTACTACTACTACTACTACTACTACTACTACTACTACTACTACTACTACTATTACTACTACTATTACTACTACGACTACTACTACTACTACTAATAATAATAATAATTACCGTTGTTTTGTTTCATTCTCACTTTTATCTGCTCTCCTCAGTAAAATCGCTGGAATTAATTAATTTATTTTTAATTACTAATTCTAAAAAATTAAACGAATGAATGAATGAATGAATAAAGAGATGAATGAATAAAGAGATGGATGAATGGATGCAGAGATGAATGAATGCAGGATTGTTAATAGCGGAGTATCGAAAGCAATGCTATCTTTAAGGGCGAAATAAAATCGCTATCGTTACTGCTACTTTTGATTAAAAAAATTTATTATTAGCAGATGAATTAATCCCATTAAACTCAAACACACACACAAACACACACACACACACACACATACAAACAAACACATAAAGACTAAACAAATCCAAACATAAACAAACAAACAAACACACACACACAAACATCCATATCAGCATTCTTTGCAGTATTTTTTAAAAATTTACTAAATAACAAAAACTGGTGAAATTACTAAATAATGGATGATTGAATGAGTGAATGGATGAATGAATGAATGAATAAATGAATGAATGAATGGATAAATGAATGAATGAATGAATTAATGAATGAACAAATATTACTCTTGATGATCTCCTCCCTATAGAAGATCTTTATTCCCTCTAATCCAGTTTTTCTTTTGCTTATGTACGTGACTAAAAGTGAATTTAAAATCAAGAAAAAAAGATAATTAACCTTATAAACTTAATTAATTAAATATAATTAGATCATAATTGGATTAATCACTATATTATTATTATTATTATTATTATTATTACAACAAACATACGGTGTATAAATAAACACGCGTGAATTAAAGCATCCAACACATTTGCATGCGACAGGCTGGGATTTCTTCACCTTCGAACCCGTACAGTGCGTCAACCGTGCCAGGCACCTTAACCATTACACTACTACGCCACAGTAATAGCTTAACCTTTACCCTGTAGCTAGGGCAATGGTTTAACTTAAACTCTCACCCTTGAAGCATTTCAAATTTTATTAATCTAAAATTTTCAAAGTGCATATTTTCATTATTAACCTAAGTTCACTTTTAATTTAAGCCTATTGTATTTACTATTTAGTATTTATTAAGATTAAGAGTAAACATTAACAATCTCACTTCTATGGGTATCTCACAAAAAATAATTACATGTGTAGTAGTCTCAATTCTATCTATTTGCCATAAAATTAAATAACGAATGTGATTAAATTCGAATTAGATCAATAAGTACGGATAAAATAAATTAAAAATAAAATTAAAAAAAATAAGCAACCAACCATCATCTAAAATTAGGCAATCTTCACTAATGGATTGATAGGTTCCACGGAAAATTCCCTCACTCGTTTGCACCTGCAAAACGTCCCCAACATTTAGGGCAACCCTATTGGCCCTGGGTCTCATAATAGATAGTCGCGAATTCACTAAAATTAGGAATTTATTCGACGTGAAACTGAACCGGACTTTCCCAATGTTTGCCAATGTTGACAAATTAAAAATTAATCTAAACTAACAAGCAAAGAAATTATAAAACGTAAAATTAACAAATTAGAACAAAGATATTAAAATGAGTAATACAGAGAACCTTATAAAATTGTACTATATTGTAATATTCTATACTATATCACACATATTTTTATACAATATTTTATATAATAACACTAAAATTAGTAACAAATTTGGTAAAAATGTTGGTAACAATGGTAATACTAATACTATTCAACGAGCTCGTACACTTACAAACGTACATCCATTACTTATATTCAAACCTTGGACGATTTGCCCCTAGTTAGGGGTTGGGGTAATTTGGTATGAGCCTCCAACGTATCATAGGAAGAAACTGACCTTTACATTTTGAAAATTAATGATAATGATAATTGTGATATTGTTAACTAATTCATTTATTCACTCAATCACTCACTCACTCATTAATTAATTAATTAACTTCATTCATTCATTCATTCACACAATCACTCAATCACTTCGAAAATGATGATTAACATGGCTATGTTGAAGAGGTGATGTTATGACGACTGTGAATAAAAGAATGAATGTACCACAACTGAAAGAATGATAATGATGACGATGATGGCCACACACACACGCACACACACACGCACACACACACGCACACACACACGCTGTGATGTGATTCATCCATCCATTCATACCACGGTCCACACGTATATTCCGCGTTATACATTTGTCCAACCCATAACTTCACTAACCTATATATATATATATATATATATATATATATATATATATATATATATATATATATATATATATATATATATAGGCTTGTAAGAAGAACGAATAGCAAAAGACTGTTTTTAATAAAGCAGTGATTAAAATAGATGAAAATATAATAAAAATATATGATGATAATAATAAATAACAATAACGATAATAACTTAGTAATAATAATAAATAATAATATACATTACAAACTATAATAACATAATAATAATAATTATAATTATAATAATAATCGTCATAATTATAAATATGGTTGAGGGTCTATTGAACACAGCGTCTTCCATTAAGGAATTTTGCCGTCAGAAGACAGACAACTCTGTAGACAGGTATGTTTCTCTCTCTCTCTCTCTCTCTCTCTCTGTGTGTGTGTGGGTGTGTATGTGTATGCGTGAGTGTGTGTGTGTGTCAACATTAAAAGATTTTTCCATTATTTGCTTGCTTTTTCACTCATTAAATTATTTTTCAGTCATCTTATATCTTCGAAAAAAAATTTTTTTTTATTTACATTTCGTCGTATTTTTCCTTTACCCACTCACTTGTTTATTCATTCATTCATTTATCAATCAATTAATTCATTCATTCACTTTTTTCTCAATAATTCATTCATTCACTTATTAATTCACTCGCCCATTCATTCGGTTATTCATTTAATCGTCCACTCATTCTTTCAATCCTTAATTAATTGATTAATTAATTAATTTATTTATTTATTTATTCATTAATTCATCTGTTTACACCTACGTGCCATGCATCGATCGCTACGTACTTCACCTCGTCTGATTATTTTAAAAAATTCACATCAAGATGACATGACAGAACGAGCGAATGAATGAATGGGTGATTGAATAAATGGACGAAAGAATGAAAGAGTGAATGAATGAGTGAATTAAAGAATGAATAAACGAACGGTCAAAAATGATTGAATAGGCGAATGAATGATTGAGTCAATGAATGAATAGATGAATGAATGAAACATGCAACGTTACTACTAAGATGAAAGTATGGATCAGAGAAAGCCATACAGGTGGGAAAGAGATAACAAGAAACCAGTCTACGTAATTTTTTTGATTTATAATGATGAATGAATAAATGAATGAATGAATGGAGAATAAATGAATGAATGGATGAACGCACGACCAAGTGCATAAAACGAAAAAATTTACGAACAAATGAAACATTTTTTAAGATAAAAACATACATAAACTCACAAAAATTTGAAAATTTTCAAACCAAACCCTAACCTCAGTACATTTTCCTCATACCCTCGCAGATTAACAAGGACCTACACAGTGGCCCTTCTGCTAACGTTCTCTTGCCTCATCACATCAAAACAGTTCGTCGGAAACCCGATCGAGTGCTGGTGTCCGGCCCAATTCACGGACAGCCAGGTTAGGTACACCACTTCCTACTGCTGGATCAGCCATACGCACTACCTCCCGACTGAAAGAATCATTCCGTATTCATTCAGTAAGGATTCGAAAGTGGTCTACTACCAGTGGGTGCCGATAATTTTGCTGGTCCAGAGTGCTCTCTGTCTCGCACCTGCTCTCATCTGGCGGATGTTAATCGGAAGAAGTGGATTAAATGTTGAGGGATTGTTTGAAGCCGCGATGATAGCGAGTGGCGCTTCCTATCTCGAGATGAGGAAGAAATCAATCGACTACATCGTCAGTCAGTTCGACCGACACACGATGACTCAAAGACATTCAGATAGTGTTTGCTACAGCAGGATAATGAACATCCTATCCAGGAAGTGTTTCATTTTTGGCGGGAAAAGCTACGGAAACTGCATCGTTAACTGTTACTTGTCCGTTAAAATACTCTACGCACTTAACGCAGTTGGTCAGATATATTTAATCGATTATTTTCTCGGCGGGAAGGAGTATCACATGTACGGTTTGCACGTTTTGCACGGTCTGATGCAGCAGACCAGTCTTCTAAATCCGGATCACTTCCCGACGGTGACACTGTGCGAGATAGATATTCGGGATCAATCAAGGATACACACGTACGTCATACAGTGCGTCCTCTCCGTCAACATATTCAACGAGAAGATATTCATCATTTTGTGGTTCTGGTTTGTTTTCGTAGCCCTGGCAAACATTTGCGACTTTTTAAGATGGCTTTTTGGAGTTTTTCACTGGAAATTATCCCTCAAATTCATTAAGAAGCGCCTGAAATCGGGCGAAAAAAACGGCGCAATTAAAATCAATGATCCGGTCATGCTATCCAGATTCCTCAGGGGCTACCTCCGAAGGGACGGTGTCTTCCTGATCAAGCTAATCTCCCTAAACTACGGGGATGTGTTGGTTGGGGACGTTTTGGATGCTATGTGGGAGTGCTACCTGCCAGAAACGAGGTACGTTAACGTGAATAGCTGCTGCAAAACGGAAGTGAGGAGGAGGAAGAGATTGTCGAAGGTGTGTGCCGAAGAGGGAGGGTCCACTACCCAACTGGTATGAAAGGGAGGGAGGACCACCACCCAACTGGTTTAAAGGAAAAAAAAGTTCATTACCCAACTGGTTTCAGACCGAAAGGGGTAATGAGTTTTCTACCGCCCAACTCGCTTAAAGAGAATGATTTGTTATGGATTGAAAAAATTTGAACTGGATGCGCGCGTGTTTAAAGTTTTAAATTGCCAAAATAAAATTCAGAATTAAAGTAAAAACACAAGATTAAAAAAAAATTGATTTACGATTTTGATTCATACTTCACTCATTTCTATGGGACGTGTGGATGGATGACATATTTGTGGAAAGGATAATACTGTAACGAAAAAAAAAAAATTTCATGAAATTAGAAACTTGGAATGTTTTACTTCCAATCATTTTTTCAGCCGTGCCTTCCTTCCAATACTTCAACATTCTAAAGAATACTTCAACATTCCAAAAAACATGAGATATACACCATGTACGTATTTAAATACCTGCTTATGGAATTACTCAAAATTATTTATCACCAATCTCGCGTGCATTCTTATTTTCGATATATTTAATGAATGAACTAAACTGTACTGTCATGTTTGGGATTTCTAAATATTTTTATACATCATTAAAATATTTAAATTTTATTTCCATTATTTCCATAAAACAATAAAGGAATCGTTTAATATATATATATATATATATATATATATATATATATATATATATTCTTACTTGAATTAAAATAAAAACTAAATAGTGTAGAAGTATGTACTTTGTATGATGTGTGTATGTATGTATATACGTATGTATGTATCTGTGTGTGTGTGTATGTATGTATGTGCGTGTATATATGTATGTGCTTACAATTACCTTAGCAATAAGCAAAATATTGAAGAAAATACATACACCCACACATAATTATCTCACTTCATCAGACAATTAGTCCGAATATTCCATCCACTAATTAATTCATTAATTAATTCATTCATTCATCCATTCAGACACACACACACAATTACACACACACACACACACACACACACACACACACACACACACACACACACACACACACACACACACACATACATTTAAAAATATATTGTTGGGTAACGAGAGTAAAAAAACGCTACAAAGGTAAACCATACACGCGCGCACACACACACACACACACGCACATACACACGCACGCACATACACACGCACGCACGCACACGTAAACATGCTTGTACGTATAAGGCATCTAATATAGATAACGTATGGTCATATATCAAGGAAAAAATGAATGTAGATGAACAATAGTAATAATAATAATAATAATAATAATAATAATAATAATAATAATAATAATAATCTCAAATATCTTTAAAAACTTTACTAAAAAAAAAAATTTTATTAAAAAACTCAACTTTTAAAATTCTAAAAAAAAACAAGAAATAGAATGAGAAAAAGTTAAGTCTTTTAAACTTTTAAATAATAGTAATAATAATAATAATAATAGCGGTAATAATAATGATAATAGCAATAAAACATTAAAATGGGAAATTAAAATATGTAGGGAAACAAACGTTTAAAAGTAAAACCCAACATAAATGCACGAAAAACCCAAAAAATACATATATATATTTATATGAATTTAGTAATTAAAAATTCAAGTAATTTTATAGTATAAATAAGTATTTAAGTAATATTTGTAAGTAAGTTACTGGTTAAGTAATGTATGTAAGTAGGTCACTATTTAAGTAATGTGTGTATGTAGGTTATAATCTAGGTAAGTAGGTTACTTACTGGCTGAGTAATATATGTAAGTAGGTTACCATTTAAGTAATATATGTAAGTAGATTACGGGTTTTTTAACCTTTTAAAAGTGTAGTGATCTGAATGATTCAGTAAAAGCCAAGCCAAGTCATTGAGTAATTAAATTAAATTACAAACAATTTAGGACAAAGAGCAACTTTACATTAGGAGAGTTAGGATAGTAGGAGGTTTATTTTGTAGTGGTTCTAACATAGATGCCAGTCTACTGAACCATTTGTCATTAATACTAAATTATTATTATTATTATTATAAGCAGACTGGCTAAAACCCTAAGTGAATAGGTTACTATGTAGAATGATTGGCCGAAAATTTTAGCAAAACTAATTAAATTAATTAAATTAAAGGGAATTAATTAATTACGGCAACTGAGTAGCAATTAAGAAGCTATTCATTAAGTAGTAACTGAAGCAAGTAGTTAGTAATTGAAGGAATACTTTTTTTCTTTAAATAAAATAGCTTAACTTAAGCTCACGATACTAGTGTGAAAATAATTAATTAATTAATTGATTAATTAGATAAAAAGTATAATCGAAAAAAAAATTGAATGCTTTTTAAAAATAATTAACCAATAGTAAAAGTAATAATAAAGTATTTTAATTATGTATATATATCTTTTTAAATTATGAAATTATTACTATTATTTAAAAAAAATTTTTTGTTGTTGTAATTATCACACAGTCTGTTTGAGCTGTACAAAATCCTTGGCACTAATGACAACACTACTACTATTACCGCCACCACTATTATTATTATTATTGTTATTATTATTACTCCTTTTTCCGAGTTCCATCATCTGTAGTGTTAGATCCTCAAACTGTGACGATAGCGATCCAAGGAGTGAGGATGACAGTCTCTTCACTCCTTCATTCATGCACTCCTTCACTCTGTTCATCGCGGCGGCGGTAGTTGTAGTGGTGGTAGTAGTTGTAGTAGCAGCGGTGTCGTTGTTATGATGTTGTTGGTTGAATATCTTGAGCTGAATAACAATAATCATAACAATAATCATAATAAACACAATAACACAAACAACAACAACTACTACTACTACTACTAATAATAATAATAATAATACTACTACTACCACTACTACCAATAATAATAATAATAATAGCATAGAAAAAATAATCAAAGAGAAATATATGGAAGACTAAGACCTTGCTGTATAATTTTATTATCTTCTCTATGGACATTTCGAATTCTTTGCAGACTGTCTGGCAGCTCGAGTCTTCCACAACTGAATAGTTGATTGATTGATTAATTAAATGAATGAATGATTGATTGATCGGTTGATTGAATAAATGAATGAATGAGTGATTGATTGATCAGTTGATTGATTGATTGATTAAATAAATGAATGGTTGGCTGGCTGGTTAATTAATTTTCGACCAAATGATTAAACGCTTCATACACCCATTTAACTATTTCACACATTCAAATTAATTAATTAAATAATTAATCAATTAATATATTGATTCATTCATTAATTCATTCACTCATTCAATCAACCACGCGACTTACAGCAATCAGTTGATTGGTCGTCAGTTAGCATGGAGATCACGGGGGAAAATGCTACCCTATGTCTGATAATGATGATGATTGTGGTGATAGTAGTGATGGCAATGATGGTGGTGATAGTGATGATGACGATAATTGTAATGATGATGATTGTGATGATGGATTATGAGATAATGACAGTTAACGATTATAGCAATAATGATTTAAGATGAAGGTATTAATAATTGATGACTTCACCATAAAAGACCGCAAAATTTTACCCAAAATATCACAAAATTTTACCTAACATACCGCCAAACTATGCCCACAACCAACCTTGATCCCTCTTTCCTTTTATAATCCCCAATTCCTGCCTCTCTTTTCATTGGTTCGCCCTCTTTTGGAATGTTGAAATCTGATTGGCCGGAGGTTACAGAGGACGTTTTGATCGGCTGTTGCGCTTTAACCCTTGACTCATCTGATTGGATGGATATTGAAGAGAAGCTGCGATTGGCCACTGGAGATCCCATTAATATCCGATCAGGGAATTCCGAGAGGCTATTTTTAGGCTGGAATGGCGATGATGATCGTGGAACCGATGATGGCATTGATGATAATGATGACGTCTTCTTCTTGCTTAGTTTCAGGTTCTGCCTGAGTAACTCATCTTCCTCATCATTACCACCATCACCATCACCACCACCATCATGATCATAATCATCATCCTCACCGTCCTTGCGGTCAACATTATGAGGTATGTTGGCGTTTTTTAGAATTTCTAACTTCCTGGCTTGCAGCTTCGTCAAAAAATCCGGCTTAATTAGTTCGTCAATATCGCCTTTGAAAGTGGCAAACTCCTGGTGCTTCTCCGTCTGGAATTCCGTGCTGCTAATTTTAGACTGGCAGGGAAATCCGGAGTTATTTTTAGACGGGATTTCCGCTTTACTGTTGATAGTATTGACAGTATTTGTATTATTCAAATCTGTTGAGTTGTTGTTTTTGTTGTTAGTGACGTTGATGTCAACGACGTTATTTGAAATGTTGTTGCTGTTGTTGTTGTTGCTGGTGGTAGTGGTGGTGTTGCTGCTGTTGAAGACGTTGTTGCGGAGTTCCCACTGCTGCTGGATGTTCTCTGCCCTCTTCACCCAGTTGTGTAGGGGATCAGGCGACTTGGCTAGAAAAGTTCTAGATGGAGGTCGGGGGTAGGTCAAGTTGGTGCCGATCGCCGAGGTGCACCCTGGAGATTTCAGGGACCACTTCGGAAGATTTGCTGTTGTGGTTACTGGCGTTGCTCCGACGACTAGAGGTGTTGTTGCCGTTGTTGATGTGGGCTTCAGTTTCGACGACAACACATCGCTCTTGTGATTGGTGAGATGTGAGGAGAGAGGCGTGAGGTCATCGGTGACGTCACCACCCCGTCTCTGATTGGTGTTGATGCTTAGAGAGTTGTTGACGTTGTTGTTCGCTTTAAAAGTCTGATCATCAAAAGCAGTCATGGATTTATTCATGTTGATTATATCGTTGTTGTTGGTGACGTCAGAACGTTGTTTGCCTGTGATTGGTTCAGACGGCAGCAGACGTCTCTGCTGCTGCTGCTGTTGTTGGTATCTTGATTGGAGGGACATGGACGAATGAGGACGCTGCATTTGTAGGTGGACGTGGCTTTTTGAAATGCTAAAAGCTGATTGGTTGAGAGCGTTTTGATTGGTGTCCCTCTCAGGAAGTTCCGCTGCGATTTCAGCAGTAGCAGTGGGCGTTTCATGTGGTTTCGTCACATTGAACAGATCACTCAGATTCTTTTTCAAATTGTTGTTTAGCTTGTCGATGTTTTTGTTGATGTTGTTGATGTCATCGCTGACGTTGTTGTTTTTGATGGACGGACCTGCCTTTGTGTTGTTGATTAAGTTATTGCTGTTGCTTGCTACCTCGTTCCTGATTGGCTGCTTGGCCGAATCTTTCTGACCAATTAGATGACCCGGTAGAGAAATCCTCCGAGCGCTATCCAACAGCGATTGGCTATTTTTAAAATCCAGGTCACCCAATTTATTCACGCTGGAATTTGACCCAATTAAATCCCTCCTCATTGGCTGGCCATCGGTTTCAACAATTTGTTGCCGCTGTTTGATGACGTCACTGCCGGTGGCGGTACTCGTGGGTATGGACTGTCTGCCCTTCTTCACGGCGGTCTTCGATAGACTGTCTGCGTGACGGTGATGATGATGATGATGAAGACGACGATGACGAAGGTGATGACGACGACGATGATGAACATGAAGGAGATGTTTACGACAAAGGAGATGACGAAAACGTACGTTACAAGTAACCACCAACAACAACAACAAACTACCTACAACTAAAGACGACGACATCAAAAACATCAACAACAACACAGACAACAACACCGACAAAGTATGAAAGCCTCACTAGTTTTATAGTTATAAACCGCTTCACTCTTCAAACTGTTGGCATCCTCGTCGTCCATCTCATCTTTCAAGAGATTCGGAGTCGACTGAAAATGTTTGTTGTTGCTGCTGATGCAGCTACCACCACTGCTGCTGCTGATGTTGTTGTTGTTGATGTTCTTGATGTTGACGACGTTGTTGATGTTCTGGTTTGCTGTCACGGCGCTATTGCTGCTACTATTAACGCTAGTATTAATGTTAGCATTGCTACAAGTCTGAGGTAGCAGACGCCTAGCTGAACCTGACGTGTTCAAAGATGAGGTTGATGTCGCCAACGGGGTCAACGATGATACTGATAATGATGAAACATTGTTGGCGATTGTAGTAGTGGTAGTAGTGGTGATGAATTTAGCTTGAGAGCTTTCTGTAGCTTGCCTGTATGAATGTACCCTAGCTACTTGCTTTCGCGCTTGTGGCTGTTGTTGGTCGGATTTCAGCGACAGAGAGCTCATAGAGATGGCCGACATCTTGCGAAGCTTGCTTTGCTGCTGCTGCAGCAGCTGCTGCTGGTGTAGCGGTACCGTCGAAGCTGTTGTGATAACGAT